ATGTGTCCCTTTCTAGGATTTGCATTTTCTTCCTTCTCAGTTGACTTATTTCATTAGGTATTCCCCTACTGCCAGTTTTCTTGTAAGACATCTATACTTGTCTACTACATTTCCATTTTGTCTGTTCAGTTCTTAATCCTGTGACATTTGAATTCTACCCATCCAACTATTGAAACCGTATACTTCTTGACAAGCCAAATCCAACATTATTTTCTAGGATCTTTTTGGCACTTGATACTGTTGACTATTATCTCTCTTTTCTTCCATGGCTTCTGGGCTTCCTCTTGTATGTCTTTGAGGAATGCTTAAAAGGAAGCAGATTTTGTGGAAATTGAGTGGGCATTATATTTGGAAGGCATAAATTCAAATCCTGGCTCTAGCCCTTTGAATTTATATGGCTGGGAAACTTACTGGCTTTCCTGAAACTCAGTATTCTTATCTATAAAATAATGGTAATAATATTTGCTCATTTGTTAATTAATGCTTCTACTAAAATATTTAGGGTAGTACCTGATTATAAGCCTTTAATACTTTTATTATTTTTTACTGTTATTTTCATTGTTATTATTAATAGTAATAGCAGTAGAATTCACTGATCTTCTAATAAAAGTATTTAGGAGTTTTTAAACTCCCTTTTTTATAACATTGGCTTTTGACCACTTTCTCTTCGTTCGCACTTTCAAGTAACTTATCCTCTGTAACTATTTTAGTCTTGAAACCAGTGCTGCTTTCATTTTCTTCTGCAATAACTTTTCTTCCTCCTTTCTTGTATTGGACTGGATTATGAGTCAGAGGGGCTCAGACTTTTGATGAGAACCAATACCAACTTCATCTGACCTGCAGGGGTGGTGGTGGTGTCTTTCACTTTGAATAGGCACCCAGTGTAGTCATCAGTCATGTGTAAAAATGCCAGAAGGTTTTTCAATAAAGATACCACCAGCATTTTATTTACCTCATAAAATATAATAGTTTGGGATCAAGTGTGGCATTGTGATAGGATATAAGACTTTAGGAAATTAAGGTAGAAACAATACATTATCATCTCAGATGACTTTATTGGAATTTTAGCTTCTAGTTATAAGAGGCTTAAACTATTCCTTTAGTGCAGCTATTCCCAAGGATGTCCCAGAGTTGAATTGCAAATAATTTTCTTTTTTTTTTTTTTTTTTTTTTTTTACTGGGTCTCACTCTGTTACCCAGGCTGGAGTGCTCAGTTGGCACAATCTCTGCTCACTGCAACCTTTGCCTCCCAGGTTCAAGTGATTCTCCTGCCTTAGCCTCCCGAGCGCCTGGGATTACAGGTGCACACCATCATGCCCAGCTAGATTTTCTACTTTTAGTAGAGACAGGTTTCACTGTGTTGGCCAGGTACTCGTCTTGAACTCCTGACCTCAGGTGATCCGCCCTCCTCAGCCTCCCAAAGTGCTCAGATTAAAGGAGTGAGCCACTGTGCCCGGCCAGGAGTTTTCTGTGTAAGACTATGTAAAGACGTACTTTAGTTGATTCCATAGTTTTGTTCTTAGAGATATACTTTCTTTCCTATTAATATCTAATTTGCTAATCAAACTATAATTTTTAACATTAGAACTTTTTTTGGCTGGTAAAATTCAATTTGTCCTATAAATTTTTTTATGTGGGTAGAAAATAGAAAACTTTAGGATAACTACCACCTATACTTATGTATCATTGGAAAGTTTACAACATAATTTAAACAGAGCACCTACCCTTTTACCACAGCAAATTAGAGGAATTATTTATGTATGCTAAAAATATACCCTCATTTTAATAGATCTCAGTGTATAGCTGAGCCTGTTTCTCATCAGTGTGCGAAAGAAAGGGAAACTTTAAGGTCCAAATCAAAATTGTTATTTATAGTATGAGCTGGTCAAGAAAGTTTCCCAGAGGGGACTGACTTTTAACCTGAGATTTGAGGAAAGAGGTAACAGGGAATAAAAGGAAGTGTTTATTTAGGGAGGTGAATGTATGAAGACCTGGCACAAGAAAGGACCTGGTGGGTTTGTGGAGTTGAAACAGTCTCTCTGGCTGGGGGAGAGGATGGGAGGGATGAGTGGTAAGAGTTGAAGTAGGGTGTTAGGTGGCACCTGGACAGGTGTCTTGGTATCTTGAGCTTATGAATCGTATTTCAGTCTGTACTATAAGCTGTTTAAGTTTCAACAATAGCTATAATTTTGAATTTACCTATCATTTTACTTCTATCAGAAGTCCAGTTGAAACAACAGATCGTAGTAATAGAAGCTATCATCTACTGAGCATCTTATTATGTGCCATTCCCTATGCTTAATGCATGGCTTATTATTTCTCAAGCTTACAACAATCCTGCAATGTAGTTGGTATTATTTGCCTTTTAAAAGGGTGAGGAAACTGGGCCTAAAGGATTTTAAATAACCTGTTTTGGATAATAGCCACTTGGTCTTGGCAGCATGTGCTTAAATTTGAGAAGTATACTCCAAGGCAGTAATTACAAAATGAATGTGTGTGAGGTTGATGTTACATTGCTTTCAGGAGTGGGGCACATATTATCTGTTTAGTAAATGATTCTTTTTTTTCAAAGACTCTTTCATGAAACTAGTAAATACTTGGTCAGTAGTAAATGCTCAATATGTGTTGGAGGAATATACTAAATAATGCAAACAATGAAGTATTCTGATGGCATCATTGTGTGTGTGGAGGGGAAAGGACTTGGGCCTTGCTCACCGAGTTTTCTCTTGTCCCTGATAGCAGCTCTTGACATGCCTTTGTGGAACCTCTAGGGATTTATGGAACACAGTTTCAGAATCATCTTCTCTCCTGGTTCTTCTGTAGTCAGAGGAATTGGTCATCAAGTTGGACCATTATGTCAGAGAGTTAATTAAATATAACACTTACTTTTCTATCCCTGAAAAATAATTATTTTACCATTCTTAAAATCCAGGGCTGATTTTAGAAATAGATACAAAAATTATGCCTTTTTATTTTATTTGAAAATGTATGTTGAAAGTTTTACAGATCTTCTAGAATTTATCAGTTTCCCTGCTTACCAGAAACCCCCCATCCCCATGCAGAATACTCTCTCGCTACCCGAAACAAAATAAAGCAAAACAAAACTCGTGTTAACATTAGTCAAAACATTTCTGAAAAAACTCTGATGGTTCATTTTCCTTACAGCTGTTATGATCTGATAGGCTTTCTAATTAGAGCTAACTGGAGCCACTCTCTTTGTCCTGGATGCCTAGTAGCTCAGTGCTAAGTCTTAAGTCTGATATTTTAACTAATCTACCTTCCTTTAGCCATGGCTTCTTTTTTTTTTTTTTTTTGGCAAGAGTCATACTCAAGTCATCTGACTTCATGAGCTCTTAAGCTCTACTTCCAGAGATAAAGCAGTCAGATGAATTAAACAAGATAAACTGTTAAGTGCTGTAAGCCCTCTGACAGCAGTACTAAACATGGCAAACCCATGACAAAGAATATAATATACTTTATGTCAAGAAGGATTAATTTTAGCTCTATCAATCACTGTGCATTATCAAGAAATGTCACAAGCAAAAGTAGTAAAGCAAAGAAGAGCACCCACGATATAAAGGACTATTTGAGCAAAATAGCAAATGTAAAAAGTGATCCTTGAACCTCCTGTGCCCTATCTAAACTCAATAAATATAGAACCTAAAAAAAGAAGGAAAATATGATAAAATCCATGTATTAAAATTTTAGCATCTGGGTAATCTGAAGAAAGAAATATTTTGTATAATTCTTGCAATTTTTCTCGGAATCTGAAGTTATAAGAAAAACATTTAAAAATAAATAACTTTGCCAATCTGAAATAAGTTCAAAAAGTGACAATATGAGCTACTAATAAATAGTATTCAATAGACATAGGTATTTATTTAGTATTTTATCTTTAAATAAATAAAAACTGAAAGTTTGCTATATATATTCTAAGCAATAAGAGCTCTTCAAAAGAGTATCCAGTTTAAGCCACTTTATTGTCACCTACAAAAATACCTAGAGAAAAACAAATTTTGGGGTTTTACCTAATGTTCTTTACATTTCCCATCAACTCTTATCTTGATAATTACTATCAAGAAAATAAATTTGTCTGAAAAACACATATAACAGATGATAATTAAGAATTACAGATATTTTAAAGAACTATTTTTAAAACAGGTGTGTATAAGGAATTGGTGGTACAATTGGACTGCTTTACAAACCTCATTACTAGAAAATACGAACTAAATGATTCTCAAGAAAAGACAAAAGCATGAAAAATTAGAAATCAGGTACTAGTCTAAAAAATTATAATTAGCCAGTTTGTGGCTTTGATTTTTGTTTTAATTAATATGATATATATCCTAGTAGGCTAAAGGCCTACAATTTGTACTCCAATCTCTAAGAAAAGCTAGATTAATTAAATCAATTGATCAGCATTCTTTTGAAAAGTTAAACACACCCAAATTCATATTATAATTGACATATTTATTATTGAATATGGGGTAGAATACAGATTTTTGAATTAAATACAAAGGTACAGCTTTTCATCTTTTTATAATTTTAATTCTTAAATGTTGCTTCAAAAGATTATCTTTTATTTCTACAAAGTATATATATTTTGTTTTGTTTTGTTTTGTTTTGTTTTGTTTTGTTTTGTTTTGTGACAGAGTCTCACTCTGTCTACCCAGGCTGGAGTGCAATGGTGCAATCTTGGCTCACAGTAACCTCTGCCTCCTGGGTTCAAGTGATTCTCCTGCCTCAGCCTCCTGAGTAGCTAGGATTACAGGCGCATGCCACCACACCCAGCTAATTTTTGTATTTTTTTTGTATTTTTCTTTTTAGTAGAGATGGGGTTTCACCATCTTGGCCAGGCTGGTCTCAAACTCCTAACCTCGTGATCCACCCACCGTGGCCTCCCAAAGTGCTGGGATTACAGGTGAGAGCCACCGTACCTGGCTCAAAGTATAGTTTTAAAACAAGTGATTTTTTGAAAAGTAAGCCTCAGGCCAGGCGTGGTGACATGTGCCTGTTGTCCCAACTACTTGAGAGGCTTAGGCAGGAAGATCACTAGAGCCCAGGAGTTTAAAACTGCTGTGAGTTGTGATCACCACTGCATCTCTAGCCTGGGTGACACATTGAAGGGGGACACAGTGGATAGAGCAGAGTTTGTTTCTCCCCTAATGTATAATAAATTTATATATTAATCTCAAAGTGTCAAATGGATGAAAGTGGAACATGCTCCAGTTGAAAAAACAAACAAAAAACATAAGGCTCAAAACTGAAAGTATTAATATATACAATTTTTTATTTCTGGCTTACAGATTGGTCAAGCTGTTTCTCATAAATCTACTTAGCTAACCAAGGGCATGATTTTTCATGATTCTTTTTTCTCTATCTCCCTCTATTATTTGGTGTTTCTGAGTTAATAAGTATTGATAGCTTTGGATCCTATTTAATCTGTGCTTTTTTATTAGTAATAATTTCAGCTATTTATAAATAGTAGAATTAAGAGAAATTAGGAAATGATATATATAAGAAAATATGAAGAAGGGAAGTATATTCTCAAATAAAAATACTTAGGAATATAGTTAGGTTTAAGAAGCATTGTCCCATTTGTGAATCTCAAGTTAACTTTTATCACTAGCAAAATTGAACCATAATACAGATTTACATGTTTCTTTTGTTTGTAAACAAATGTATATAATCTGTATGTTGAAATTATAGAGCAAAATTATTTCTGAAGCTTTTTGGAAAGTGATACCAAATAAATTAATTTTACTTTGAACAAACCTAAATTTCAGATTCCAGTAATAATTTATTCATGGATTTTTTTCTTATGGGACTGATAAGATCATCAATTACAGTCCTGTTTATGACCATTAATAACATAATTAGTCTATGAAAAGCCTTTTTACCAATAATTTTGGGAATTTTTTTGTCTTTGTTTTGGGCTTATTTTTAAGGCTTTTCCTTGAATTTGAGTTTCCCCTGACTTTGAGGGTTTGTTGCCTATGGGTTCATTGATTTGGTAGATAGTTATAATATTTAAAACTCATGATTATGTTTAATTTTCCCAAGCACTTTCAGAAATGCATTTCACAAAAGTGGAGTGTTTCTTTAACTATTTTAATTAGATATTAAAAATATCTAATTTTAAAAATATCTATATTAGATACAAAAAAATAACAAAGCAAGAGTGCATCAGAGAAGTTGAGAAACTTTATCATGGAAAAATGTGATCTAGAGAAGCTAGTGTAATAAAACAAATCCATACTCTTTAAATTTAAAGCCTAGTATAAAAATAGCGTTACTAACAATGCTAATTAATTAGATGGTTTTTAAGTAATTGTGTTAAATCTCAGTAGACAAGTTATTTCACGTGGAAAATATTATTAATGTTTGAGCTTAAATTATATTTCTATCTTTGTTTTGATTGGTAATACTTCAAGTTAGTGTTCAGTTAATGTAGTTTTTGCCCTGTTTCTTATGAATTGATAATAAGATTGCCCTAAAATATTAGAGATGTGAACTAAAGGGATAGCGACTTGAATTTGACCTAATGAGAGGTAGGTGAATCAGAATGCCAGGTCTACCACTTATAAGCTATAAGATATTGAGTAAATCACTTTCAACCTCGTTGAGCTTCACTTTTTATGATACTGGTTGAGCATCTGTTATGAGCCATGAACCTGTTTGGTGCTGTGATATAACTTTGACAGTTAGGTCAAAGAGACTGGCAGTTAAACAGAAGATGACATAGAGAATGGTAATACCTGAGGTATACATATGGGGATGTGGGAGCAAAGAAGTGAGTCAGTTGATGGAAGTTAAACAGAAGATGACATAGAGAATGGTAATACCTGAGGTATACATATGGGGATGTGGGAGCAAAGAAGTGAGTCAGTTGATGGGAAGAGGATGTTGTGGGAAACTTTACTAGAAACTCTACTAGAGAGGGCAGTACTTCTTCGGGGTACTACCCAGTCTTAGTTGTCTTAGTTTTCTTATCTTTGAGAGATAATTTACCCATACTGAGGCCAGGTGCTGGTGGCTGATGCCTGTAATCCCAGCACTTTGGGAGGCCAAGGTGGGTGGATCACCTGAGGTGAAGAGCTTGAGACCAGCCTGACCAACATGGTGAAACACCATCTCTGCAAAATACAAAAAATGCCTGTAATCCCAGCTACTTGGGAGGCTGAGGCAGGATAATCGCTGGAACCTGGGAGGCTGAGGTTGCAGTGAACCAAGATCAAACCATTGCACTCCAGCCGGGGCAACAAGAACAAAACTCTGTCTCAAAACTAAAACTATAATTAAAAACAAATAAATAAATAGCCCATAAGGGTTATAAAGATAAAATTAAAAAAAATTGTTGTAGTGGTGTTTTGCAAACTGCAAAGCATTTTACAGATAGAAGTACAAATTACTGATTTGTATGTCACATACTCTGCTAAGAACTGGCAGTAGGCAAATGGTGGCAGAGTAGTGTTTCTCAACATGTGGCACATGGATGTTTTCTCAGTTATCTCTGTGCATGCATGTAGGTGTATGTGCTTATTTAGATAAAATTTATAATGAAACCACAAATTGAATCTATTAATAGATAAGCTGAATAACTACATTATAACTGAGATTGCCACTCAATTTCAGTGTGTTTCATATTTGCTTATGATCTCTTTGGTGCTAGGTTGAACTACTTTAATTGTTGTGCACTAATGAGGAAAAAGAGAACCAATCTTAATATGAAAATGTTAAAGCTAAGTGATATCACAGGGAAATTGAATACAAAAAGCCCAACCTCATTGTACTAGCTGGTCCCACACTGTCCTTGTTTATACCTCACTTTATGTTTGCTCATGTTTTAATAATATTTTTGAACACTAGAGGTCAGCAGTCGTGGTCCCAGGGAAGCCTTCTTGTTCATCCTATCTAGGTTAACTTTCCATTATACGCTCTCCTTGCCTGTGTACCTTTCCTTCACAGACTGTTTCATTAGCAGGAGCTTAATTGATTGATGTAATTAGTGTTTCTCCCCAAAATTATATCGTACATTGATGATCCGGGGACCATGTCTCCCTTTGCTCCCACTGTAGTCCAACCTTACATGCACTGTATGTCTGGCACATAATGGGTGCTCAGTAAATGTTTGTTGAAATAATGAGTGAATTAGGTTATGACTGAGTTGCCTTCTAAATTGACAGTAATTTATTTACATGTTTAGTGTTAAATATGTGCAGGCACACACACTCCAATTTTTAAACTATAGTTTCTGAATAGTGTAAGCAGTCACTATTTGGTGTATCCAATATGGAACATCTCTATCTCAGGTTGGGGCAATAAGAATATGAGAAAGAAGACTGGGTATGGTGGCTCACGTGTAATCCCAGCAGTTTGGGAGGCTGAGGCAGACAGATCACCTCAGGTCAGGAGTTCGAGGCCAGCCTGGGCAACATGATGAAACCCTGTCTCTACTAAATGCACAAAATTAGGTGGGTGTGGTGGCATATGCCTGTAATCCTGGCTACTCGGGAAGGTGAGGCAGGTGAATCGCTTGAACCCAGGAGGCAAAGGTTGCAGTGAGTTGAGATTGCGCCATTGCACTCCAGTAATGTTTTGCTCTACAGCAAGAACAAAACTCCGTCGAAAGAAAGAAAAGAATAAAGAAGTATGAGAATTTTTGTTTCCATTTATTTTTACTTAAAAATAAGAAATATAGCCAAGATATAGAAACTTATATGTATATCATACATATCATATATATAAATGAGACATCCTGAGGAGCGAAAATGCAACTTGTTTGTCGCATTCTCTGTTTTCAGCAAGGTGGATTAATGGATTATGTAGTCAAAATTTAAACTAACTTCATGATATTGACAAGTGGCTTATTTTTTCCACGTGTAGCTTACAGATTGAAGATTGCATTAATATGGCAAACAGAAACAAGAAAAGAGCAGAATGAGTACCTGTTCAATTATTTGACAGTCATGTAACAATTTAAAGAAATTACCTAAATAAGAAGTTGGCTCTAAAAGTTCCAAATACTAAGAATAGTTTTGACACATGGATTTATGTCTATTATATGTATTATTTTCAGCTATTAACTCTTACCCAAATATATATTGTGCTATAAAATTAAAGAATGAAGTTGCCTCAATTAATGAAATATTTAAATATTTGATTTTTAGCTTTTTATTTTGTGATTCCTATATTTGTAAACACGTATATAATTTATAAGTAAATATTTTTAACTAAGATGGGAACATGATCAAAAACATTTGGAAACTACTGAACTAAAAAGTTTCTAAGAAGAAAGTATAATTTTCATGTAATAAATTCCACCTGTTTAAGTGTACAGTTTGATGAGTTTTTGAAAACATACATACCTGTATAAACATCACCAAAATCAAAATACAGAACATTTTCATTATCCCAAATACTTCTCTCATTTTTGTTAGTACCTCTCTTCCCCATCCAAATTCTAGGAAAATACTGATCTGCTTTCTGTTATTTAGATTGCTTTGTCTTTTCCACAACTTTTTTTTTTTTTTAATAGAAAGTGATTTATTTAAAGAGAGAGAGAAACAGGAGAAGGAGAGAGAAAGAAACAGCTAACTCTCACACTGAGTGAGAGAATCCAGAAAGATGGAATCCAGGAGAGGAAAGCAGCTTGCACACTGTGTGGAAGGGAATAGAGAAAGATGGAATCCAGGAGAGGAGAGCAGTTTGCACACTGAGTAGAAGGGACTAGAGAGAGAGATGGAGTTTAGGAGGGGAAGACAGGCTTCCACGAAAGAGTGTGGAAGGGGACTACAGAGGGAAAATCTAGGATAGAGAAAAACATCTTCTACGAAGGGAGTGTTCATGGAAGGGGATCCAAACATGGAGTCCCGTCTTTTCCACAACTTTTATTTGACTTTCCAATATGGTATCTCACAAATACATTCTTTTTGTGTCTGGTTTCTTGCACTCACCATGTTTTGGGAGTTCATCCATGTTATTGTGTATATGAGTGGTTTATTTTTAATTGATGAATAATGTTTCATTATACCAATATTTATTACAGTTTGTTTATCCATTCACTTGTTGTTGAGCATTTGGGTTGTCTCTAGTCTTGAACATTCATGTATTCTTCAGGCATAGGTTTTTATTTCTCATGGGTAAATACCTAGGAGTAGACTTGTGGGTTCTGTGATAAATGTTTGTTGAACCTGTAATTCCAGCACTTTGGGAGGCTGAGGCAGGTGGATCATGAGATCAGAAGATCAAGACCATCCTGGACAACATGGTGAAACTCCATCTCTACTAAAAATACAAAAATTAGCTGGGTGTGGTAGCACATGCCTGTAATCTTACCGCCTCAGGAGGCTGAGGCAGGAGAATCGCTTGAACCGGGGAATCAGAGGGCGTAGTGAGCTGAGACTGCACCACTGTACTCCAGCATGGTGATGGAGCAAGACTCCATCTCAAAAAAAGAAAAGAAAAGAAACTGCCAAACTGTTTTTCAGACTTGTTATCACCACAGTATATGAGAGTTCTAGTTGCTTGACATCTTTGTCAAACTTGGTATTGCCAATATTTTTAATTTTAGCTATGCAAGTGAGTTACATAGTGGTATCTCATTGTGGTTTTCATTGCATTTCTCTGGTGACTAACATTACTATCTTCTTATGTACTTATTGACCAATGATATATTTTAATATCTTTGCCTACTATTCTTCCATTTCTACTTTTATTTAATAGTAAGTACCTAATTTGTGTCTAATTAAATGGATTTCTATAGTACACTTACATAGGTGTAAGTAATCTTTCAAAATTTCAAGGTAAAACCAAGGAGAGTAAGAATGAAATAACTTTAATAATGAAAAAGTAATGTAAATGAGGTCATGTTTTTGGTAAGAAATAAATGAAATACTAAAAATGATGTGAAATTAATTTTAGAAATCTTATCAGCTTGTATTGAGAAACTTGAGAATTTATGGGTAGATGGTATGCTAATTTGAATAAATTTAAATGTGGCCACAGCATGCCATGCACAGAGTTAGATAAGACACATAAGCTACACCATGGTAAGTAAGGTCTTGCTCACTGGGATCAGAATCAAAGTAAAATGGCAGACGTGTGTGCAGCTCATCCTGATAACTGTCTGACCAGAGAGGATTATAAGGCACACTCCAGTAATTCTGACTGGGAATTACTGACCTTCAAAGTGGAGATGATAGCTTTGAAAGAGATCAGTAGTAATCTTCAATCTGCAGAATATTCTATTTGACCATAAGATTTTCAAAATTTAGGTAATACTTTAGTGAATCTCTGTAGAGAGCCTGAGTGTTAGTCACAGAGGCTCATTTCTTGGATCATATAGATTAATGGTTATAATGTACATATTGCCAATAGTGTGAATCATATTTATGGGATAAATAATTTTTTGTTGTAATTTTGTTCATGAACCTTGTATCATGACAATGATAAATTATGTAAAGGTTGTTAATGCTAATTTGAAGAATGGAGCTGGAAGAAATCTTAAATGTTATCTAGTCCACTTTTTTTTTTAACCTGTATTTTTAAAAAATGATAAAATATAAAATTTACTATCTTAACCATTTTTAATTACGTACAGTTCAGTGTGTTAATTACATTCACATTGTTGTGCAGCCAGTCTCCAGAATTCTTTTCATCTTGCAAACCTGAAACTCTGTACCTGTTACAACTCCCCACTTCCTGATAACTGCTGTTATAATTTTGTTCTTATAAATTTGCCTTATCTAGTTCCCATATAAGTAGAATCATACTGTATCTGTCCTTTTGTGTTGGGTTTATTTCACTTAGCCTAATGTCCTCAAAGTTCATTCATGTTGTAGCATGTATCAGAATTTCCATTTTAATAAATAATATTCCATTGTGTGGATATATACCACATTTTGTTTATTCATTCCTCTTTCCATGGACAGTTGGGTTGCTTCTACCTCTTGGCTATTGTGAATTACGATGCCATGAACAGACTATGTAATTATCTCTTTCAGACTCTGCTTTCAATTATTTTGGGTATATACTGAGAAGCAGAATTTCTGAATCATATGGTAATTTTTAAATTCTGTTTTTAAATTTTTGAGGAACTGCCATACTGTTTTCCATAAAAGCTGTACCATTTCACATCCCTACCAACAGAGCA